GTATTAGCACCTACAATCAAGTTGTCCCAGACCATTTATGTTACTTTTCTTAAGAGTTCGTCAAATTAATCGTGTTTATTTATTATTTGTCAAAATTATCAAGGGCAAGAAAGTTATTATTTAAGTTTTTTTTTATATTCTTCTTACTCGGCAGGTGCCAGAAATTGTCGATATTTGTTTTATATTATGAACAAATCGAGGCTTTTACGTTTCTTTTATTAATTACATTACATACAAATAATTACATAGTCCTTTAAAGTAATATATATATATTTTTTAGTTTTTTTTTTTACAGCAACTGACTTTACAATATTGGATAGTTTAATCAGATTATATTTTGCACTGATATTTTTTGCGTTCGAAGTGCATTATTACTATATTATAATAAGAATTTATTTATCATCATCGTTTCTTACGACATATACTGGCTACATAGTGGCATCGATAACTTTCTTACTTTTTCATTATTCCATATATTTTTCCTTTTACAATTATCTGATACTTTCAATTTACCTTTTTTTTTTTGTCTTTTATTACCCTTTAAACTTCGTTATCCACTTTCTTTTCGGAGAGGCTTGAAACAATTTACTTATTTCTTTAAAATATAAAACATACAGTCTATACTCACGTTACATTACAATTTCAATAATAACTTATAAAACTTAGAACTTATAACTTATACTAGTGATATTAAATTTTATGTATTACTAGGACCATAACTAAACGTATTATGCTTTCATTTTGAGAATATATTTATTTTGATAAATCAATGAATAAATTATTAAGTCAATTTTTAATGCCAAAAAATTATTTACTAGCTCACGGTATATCTTCTAATTATCACTAATTGAACTTTTCTATATGAAATGTTCAATATAACCGTAAAATATAGATTAATTACATTTTTATGTACATGAAAAAAAAAATTTATTAAGAATCATTTAAGAACAGGATATATTACCTATTGTATTAAATATAATTTTGTAAGATAATAGTGAGTACTTTTGCAAATAAAATAGTGATTAAAATACAAAAATAATGATAATAATGAAAATTAGAAATTCATCTATCAAAGCCTCTCCTCGTTAAATTAAACTTTCTAATACTTTCTCATATTACTCAATCCAATAAACATAATATAATGCTTCATTCTATTATCTCTGTGTATGTGTGGTTGCGCCGGAAAGTGCGTGCGTGTGCATAGCTGCGTGTATACGCGCACGCGCGCGCATTTGTAAACATAGCTGCGTGTGTGTCTGCGCGGTTGCGTGCGTGCGTGTGAATATGCGCGGTAATGCGTGCGTGCGTCATCCAACTTTCGGATTAAGCATTATATTTATATATACTTTCCCTCTCCTCAAAAATACTGACAAATGCATAAATATGAACATAGACATATATGCGTGAGTATTATCCATCCCCTAGGTTTCACTCACTCGCTTGCAATCGCTTCTGTTTTATCCTACTTTCTTTTCTTTCTCTAATATGAGTATTCCATCCTTATATTTTTGTCGCTGCACAATAAAGCTTCAGTTAATACTATTGTATATATATATATATATATATATATATATATATATGCACATATATATACATATACATATGATTATATATAGATAGTTGTAGGCTTCGCTAAAAAAAAAAAAAAAAAAAAAAAAAAAAAAAAAAAACAACAACAAAGTATAAATGTCCCAAGCCCACAAGGTTATAAAATTCTCTGACAAGAGAAGATATTCGAAAAACCATCCATTGAACGATCGGACAACGCTATGGGATGCTTATGATTATTTTTGCTCCCACTCCCAGTTTTCACCCTGTTAGTCGCTTGCATGATGATAGAGAAAAGCGAATAATATTCCCGAAAAGAACGTTGTATCGCACTTTCTTTTCCTCTATCTAGTCCTATATTATTAAATGTACCTCGGCGCTTTTTGGCTTTACAATTGCTAGTTTTTCCAATAAAAAAAAAAGTTTATTTATGCTTGTATATGCGCCCATATATGTGTTCGAATGTGTATTTTATTTGAATTATCGTTATTTTCTTTTTTTTATTAATGCGAAATAAGGTTGAGTATCGAATCTTATGAATTAAAGTTGCAACGTTATCTTTAATAACCCTTACCAAAATATTACATAGAAAAATAAATGGTACTTAGATAATTTTATAATGCCACAATTACTTTAATAAGATAATCAGCAATTTAAAAATTGAATACTGTACAGATTGCATTAAATTTGCTGAGCATTTGCATTAAAATTTGGTCAGTAAATAATCAAGAAACTTACTTGTGATTACATAGTTTAATATCTTATTAATTGTTAAATTTAATTTGACTAATGTCAAATTGTTATGTCAATATTAGTTAAGGAGTTGATTAATTCATTCGTAAATAATATTTTATTTAAATATCTTCGTAAGAAATTTAATAGCAAATTACTAATACATTATCGACATTTAACATAAATTAAGCTACTGTTACAATTTATTTTATACCTGAATATTAATTCAATTGCTAAAAGTTTTGTAACTGAGTGGTTTAATGTTGTTGAATAAAAATTATTATTAAAAGTCTTAAATAAACAAAATTAATAAAATTGCAGGTATTAGTACAATTCTTGAATATTAATATTCAGAATTATCGTATATTTAATTAAGAACGTTTAATATTTATAACTGTTATCATCAATACAAAAATCGATTGATTATAGATCAAGTTCCAACAAAAATGACTATTTTAAAGTATTTCATCGTTTATTTTGAATCATTTGCGCGTGAATGTGGTTGTAATTTTAAGTAAAATTTCATGATTGCTGCATGACGGGGCTTTATCAGCTATATGTGTGTGTGTATATTTGTGTTGAATAATTGTAAGAGATCCAGTGCATTCTGTTTGGGATTCATCGCATCAAAATTAAGTAAGATCTTCATCATTCCCATCATCAACAGTCAAGGTATTGCCATAAAGTTATACATATAATAATAATGAATTTAAATTTATTAATCAAATTTCATTTTTAATCATTTCATGCATTGAAATTTTGATATATTTAACTGTGAATTCAATATTTTTTATATCTACATAAATATATTTATATATGTATATATATATATATATATATATATATATATATATATATATATATATACACATATATAGATGGGTGTGTAGTTTTAGACTTTTAAAGTTACTTTTATATCTCTTTATAAAATTTAAAATTTTTATCTTTTTATCTTCTTACAACTTTTACATCCCTTTCTTCATTTTTTACATATATATATATATATCTATATCTATCTGTTTTATAATCTATCTTTATTACTTTTTCCATTTCTCAAAGGAATATGAGAGTTGTATTTTGAGTTAATAAATTATGAATAAATTTTTATTTAATTAATATTTTTACGCTTGTCTCTTTTATATATTGAGATAGTTCAATATGTTTAAAAGTTAAAATAAAATTAAACTATATCCTATTAATGGAAGTAATCATATTAAAATAGATAAGAATACTAGCAATAATTCTCGAAATTATTATATTCTCTTCATTAAAATTAGTTATTCAACATCCATACCGCTTATTGATAATGAAAAACAAAAAAAGAAAAAAAAAAAACTCTTATATCTCTTTGAGATGCGTACTCCATATTTAAGTTTCATAAACGGTCGTTGGAGATATTTTATTCCTCGCATGCCACTTTTTATGGCGTATCTTGCAAACCTTTGACATTACTTATTATTCACCAGCTGAAAATTCGTTTGCAAGAGTTGCAAGAGTAAAGCGCGCTCAATATACTTTATCACAATTTGTGCGATAGTATATATATATATATATCAAGTACTCAGACATAAAGGAAATGAAATAGTCTAAAAGGATTGATCATCGACTGAAAACGCGTAAGGTAATCCAGGACCGTTTATAAACGATAAAATTGTTTCAAGTTTGAATAAAAATTAAAATATTCTATGTATAATGTGGATTAATAAAATTCTTGTTGAAAGTTGAATGTAGAAATTCATGAAATTTTAATTAATATTGTATTATATATTTATAATTAATTTCAATTTAATTGCTTGCAAATTCTTGATGCGATATTGTTATTGTTAATAAAAATTTTTTTTACAATAGTATATTATTCAAATGTCCTAAAGAGATTTTAGAGTTAAAAATTTTGGTAAATTAAAATTGATTGATTACGATTAAAAAAACGTGTTTGTATATAATTTAAATAATTTCTCGATGAATGGTAAATATATATTTAAACAAACAAACAAATAAACTCGAAGCTTTGGAGTATTGCTTTTCAATTTTACAATTTTTAACATTTTCTACTCGATCTGTCGCTGTCAATTGATTGCAGAAGTAAAAGGTGTAATAGGTAAACAATTTTTAAAAGAATTTTATATTACTTCTTTTTACCATTTTAAAATTTTTAAACATTTTAAATTTATTATCTTTACTTTATCACAACTATTTATTATTATTAATCTCTCTCTCTCTCTCTCTCTCTCTCTCTCTCTCTCTCTCTCTTTCATTCCACCTATAGACTTTATATCTTTCTTTGTCTCTAATACTTTTAATATGTGTATTCTCTTAACTTTCAACTTACTTTAAACTATATTATTCTATTCATTAATCTATATAATTAACGTAGAAGAGCGTTAACACGTAGCTTTTTTCGTTAACACATAGCTTTTTTCTTATTTTATATATATATATATATATATATATATATATATATATATATATATATATTTATATTTATGTACTCCTTTTCAACCCTTTTTTTACTAAATTATATATATATATATACTTCTGTTTATATTATATTAAATTTATGACACTCTATCACACAATATAAACATACTTATATCTCGAATAAGCACACATACCCAATTTGTACTCGCACACTTATTTCCAGGAATATAATAAAAATGCATGCGAATGGACGTGTCGCAAACCTTACTAATAATAATTTTTTTTCTGTTTTTTCATACTAGGGGTGTACCCTCGAAGAGTCCCACACTCACGCACAGTCCAACTATGTACGGTGATGCTCTGAATGCGAATCTTCAGGTACCTATTGTATTGTTTATCTTCGCTCTTTCCGACAATTATTTTAGCACATATCAATGAAGCAGCATAATTATTTGTAAAAGCCGTGATTATATTTAACATCGATTAAGTAGATTTCAGATACGTTTATTAATGTTTGAATGAGCTCCTTGGGTTTGTTCAATCAACAGTGACAAGAACCTCAAGGATATAATTCATAAAAGACTTTTTTCATTGGTCTTATTTTTTCAATGAATTGTAATAACGCATTATTAATAATCGTAATTCTTGCTCATATTTTCGCTTGAATTGTAGCTAATTATGTGGATGCCTTTTGAGTATTTCCAGGCTGCACTCGGCGAATCAAACATGGGGTTTCTTAACAACTCGATGTGCACGTCGACAGCAACGAGTCCTGACAAAGAGCACACCTTACCTCACAATGATTTAATGTAAGTATTCTTCTCGTCGTAGGTAATTACATAAGCTTATAATACTTGACTTTCGTTCGATATTTGTCTAACTGATAAACTCAAAAATATCGTATTATATTAGTTTGGAGCGATTTGTACTGGCATAAACAGAATTTATCTTAAAGAATGCACAAGATGCACAGCGCCCGAGTAATATGACTTTGGATAATAATAGAGTTATATCGCGTATATGTTGCGCTTCGCACGAAAAATGTAAAGTATTAGTGAATAGAAGAAAAGTAAGCAGAAGATGTAAAATTGATGGACGTGGCAAAAGCTGTGGAACGTTAGCTTGGTGGGCCTTTCTCACGCGGCTCCGCGTTCATTTCTCGAATGATTATCGCTAAATGATAATGCGCGACAGGTCGAGCGCGAAAGATTTCATAAAATACTACCCTAAGAAAATATCGTGAATAACATGAGGCTAAAACGAAACGGACAACAGCTCACCGCTGGACGAATCCGGGATGCACATAAAGCAGGAAGGTCAAAGCCCGGAGGGCGGCAAACTCTCAAGGCTGATAAAACGGGAGCTGATGGAGGCGCCAGCGGAACAGGACACGGAGGAGGAGGCCTGCAACGACGACAGGGACTATCCAGAGAGCCATGGCGGCCACGAATCTGGACCCGATGAAGACATGGCCGAGGACCTGTCCATGGCCCCGGAAATACTCGCACCGGAGGATCACTGTGAAGCGTAGTCGCGTCCGATTGGCCAGACCAGAATGTGGCGTCAGAGGTGAGATATATGCATATCGCGGTAAACAGTGTTTTTCCGTTAAAAATTACAAATTTTCTCGGGCATTTCAATCGTCTGCTAAAAGTCAAATGTTCAAATTTCTTAATTTCGTGAAAAAGCTGATGCGGGGGCAAAAAAACTATTGATTCATGGACTGCTTGCACAAGCTGCGATTTATTGCCATGACTCTTAGGATATCTAAATTGAGTGGAATTCCGAAACAAAGAAGATATATTATACACCACATTGAGTGGAAAAACTTTTCCTAGGGCCTTAAAACGATTATTTTTCAGCACTGCTTGTCGGATGCACGAAAGAGCTTTGGGACTTTCCTAGTTGCGGTGGAAGCGCTTTTCCATAACTATTTAACGAAGAAGAGCAAAGGACGAATTCTCATCGGAGCGGGTGGTGAACGCCTCGCTCAATGATTCGGCTGGACTAAGATATTTGCTTTTCCTCTGGATTATCGAAGCTTCAACGAAAGCGGCCGTAGCGGGAGACGCGGCACGGAGAGGACGATACTCTATCGATCCTCGAAGCATTCATTCGCCATATCGGTTGTGCACCGCAACGACGACAAAGCAAAACCTCGTACCTTTTAAGAAACGAACGAATCGAGAGCCAAAGAGAAGGACGCAGGAAGGACGAAGGAAAGATGGCCGCGAGGTGATTATTCGAGGCGCAAATGCGTCGAATCGCTGATTGTAGGGAAGGCGAAGATAAAAATGACTACAAGGACTATGATAACGACGAGTATGACGACTATGACGACTATGATGACTATGACGATTATATTATGACTATGACGACTATCACAACGACGACGACGACGACGACGACGACGACGACGACGACGACGACAACAGCAAGAACAACAACAACAACAACAATAATCACGGCGGCAGCGATGGCAACGAGGAGTGGAAAAGAGCCGGCGCCATTCATCGATCCATATCTTTAATCAAGCAATTAAGAAAAACAACGATGTATATTTAACGGAAAGACAAACAATTTAAAGGAGCCTCATTCTCATGTATATTGCGCATTTGATCGACATGTATAGATAAGTGAGAGGTGAGAATAAGGGGATGCGTATGAATGAGAAAAAAAAACGTGCAAAACTTTTATTAATACATGGTAGACATTTACTTATGTGTTTAGTTTTTTTTTCTTTGTCATTCTCCAGCACGCATGTGTATACGTGTATGTGTATGCAAGCGATAATGATAATATTAAATATAATAATATTATTAATAATAATAATAATAATAATAATAATAATAATAATAATAATTAATAATTAATAATAATTAATAATTATAATTAATTATAATAACGATAAAAAAAACAACAATAATAATATTAATAATATTAATATTAATAATAATTATTATAATAATAGTAATAATAGTAATAATAATTATTATATAAAAGCATTAATAGTAATGGTAATAATAATATTAATATTAGTAGTAGTAGTAGTGCTAGTAGTAGTGATAATAATAATAATTACGTAATCGCGAAGCGACGTTACCAAAAACTGTTGACAAGTGCGAGCGAGCGCGCGTGCATGTATACATAATGCAAACAATTGTAGATAAATATTTGGTAGGCGAGAAGACGATACATTTAAATGTTATAAATTAACATAATAGGCACACGAATATCTTTTTGTCGCCACTTTTTATTACGTTTATATATATACATACATATATATATATATATGTATGTATATATATATATATATATATAGGTACATACAGGTGCGTGCATACGCGTGTGTACGGGATTGAAATCCTAAAAACTTTTACTTTCTGTGTTATAACGACCTGCGAGCAGTGATAATTGTATATGATCTTGCTATTATAGGCATAATAATTCGAGAACTTTTTATATGTTTAATAAATGTATGGTGGAATTACGTAAGAACAGAATTTTTGTAGTCTGCAATTGCGAGATTTGAAAAATGAAAGCAGACTTTAAACAAGTTTGACTGAATTTAATTAATAAGGAATTCCCAAAAGATATCTATGTAACTTTTTAGTAACTTTGAAGGAAATGTTATATATAATGTTGTACATATTTTTATTCATGAAATTTATCATAATATGATTATCGGTATTAAGTCAGTTGTTGCTTTGAGTATAAATTTAATATTACTCTTTAATAATAAATCTGATTTTAATGTCGATTATAAAAAAAAGTTTTATTAATAAATTATAATTAAGATAGATTTTTTTTATTAATATAAATAAAATGACTCGGTACAATTTTTTTTTTAACAATTTGAATTATCTGCGAGTGAGCATTCAATCTTGCACCTATGGAATATAAAATTATATTTTTAATAAAATATACTTTATATGATATTATTTAAAATAGTTTTTCGTTTACTTTGATACGAAGGTATCGATTGTATTGGAAGAAAAAAAGTGGTGTAGCCATTAAAGTTAATGTTATTAAATATAAATTATTGATATTAAATGTCATATGAATCTTTATCAATATTAATTTTATTCTTTTTAATTAAATTTGGTTGAACTTTATTCTGCATGCATACTTCCACTGGATAAGTTTTCAGATATAATCGTGGAATTCCTAGGCTTGATGGCTGATAAAAATGAATTTCAAACTAATAATCTCTTATTTATTTAATATGTCGTCATATCATGTCTTAATAATTTCATGTCGGTTGTGTATGCTAATATCTCCGAAGCTTGAGAAATTAGTTTAAAAAAGAAAAAAAAGAAAAAAAAGAAAGAAAAAAAAAAGAAAGAAAAGAAAGCTTTCAATAATTACAATTATTGGACCCTTATTAAATAAATAAAATCACGTCTTTGTATTATGTAGACATTATTACATCGATAGGATTCAATCTATCAAATTCTAAAAGTAAACGGAATATAAGTAATATTTTTTAGTGAAGTCATATTTTTAAAAAATTACATTTACATTCAATACGAAATCTTGCTAGTATTATAATGCAATGATATAAAAATTGTACGATGATTATATAATGTATTTTAATTTTTATTATATATTGTTGTTTAAGCTTTTTAATAGATTGCAAGCCATTGTTCTTTGAATTTTATATAATTTTATTTTATCGTTCTAATTACTTATTAATAAATTAGACTTATTAATAATACCTTATTATATTAAACGATGCGCACAGGTGATGTTCTAAGCCTAGGAATTCTTCAAATCGTTCTAAATTCATAAAAAAAAAAAAAAAGAAAAAAAAAGAAAAAAAAATGAAAATGGATTTTGTCTGAAAAAGTAATGCGTAAGCATCGTTAAATTTCACTTGTATAGGTAAAGATAAAAATAAAAAAAATGCATACTCGTGCATAAGTAGTTTCGTGTTCGTGCATCAAAAATATCTTGAAATACGTTTTATATAAGTAAAACGTTTTGTTCGTGTGTGCACAAGTGAAAGAGAGACGGAAAACAGCGAACACATAAAATAATGCAGAAAGAAATTGCAAGGAAATTGAGTAAGAGATAAATTTTAAAATAAAATTATGTTAGAATGGCAAAAGTATAACGTCGTGATAATAGAAGGTGAAAAACAAAACATTTTAACCGACAAAGGAGAGAAGAACTCTGAAGTGATTGCAATTAAAGGCAACGTTATTTAACTTTCAATTCAAATGAATGGTATAAAAAACTTATATGAGTAAATTAAATCACTACGTATGCACCCTACATAAATACACATATATACGTATACGTATAGGATTATAAGAAATTTAGCAGACGAAAAATCAGTACTCCCAATTCTCCTTTAAAAAAGTAAAGCAAGAAAAAATGAAGAAAACGAAAAAATAAAGTGTTCCGTCAGTCCCTTTAAAATCTAATTCCGTTTGGCCAATGCTTCGAGAACTCTACTTAAGTAGACGCTTGCAAATAAAAGTGGCCGAGAACATTCCCACCGAAAGCCACTTACTAAAACAATGCAATTAAAAGGAATTATTAGGTAAAGTTCTAAATCATGTATTTTCACTTATAACACGATAATTTAATTAGCATTTGTTGTTGAATATATTGCACCGAGTTACTAAAGCAATGATGAAATACGAATTTTTGTAAATTTGAATAATTTTTAAATGAAATTTGTTTAAAGCAGTATGATAAGCATAATTTATAATAAATTTGCTATCTTTATTTGGTATTCTCGAATTTTTCGTTAAAACGTTATCAAAGGGTATTTTAAATACTAAAAATGTCTATTACCATCAAAAGCAAATATATGTTTATATATATATATATATATATATATATATATATATATAGAACTTTGTCTAATAATTCTTTACTCGTGTGGTGAAAAGAAAGAGAAATTTTCATTATATCATAATGATCGTGAAAAATTTTCTGTAGTATTAATTAACGCACATGGCAAAAATCAAATTTCTGTCATGCGCTAACTAGGTGAGAAGGAAATGCGAATTGAATTCTTTTAGAGATGTAAGTTTTTAAAAAATAAATAAAAATAAAAGGATTATAATGCTTTGCATTTGCAAAATTTTAATCAAAATTTTTTAAACTAAACGAAGGACAAAAAATTATGTACAATGTCTCAAGCAGATTTAAGTAAGTTTTTAGCGAAGATTTTACCTATCAATGTCTGGACGATAATCAGAAGTATCACTGTATCAGTATACTCAAATAAGTGGAATAAAAAAAAGAAAAAACCACATTCGTTGACTATGAAGTTGTATGCAATCGACGGTACATAAAATGTACGATTTATAAGAAAAAGAAAAAAAATATCATAAGTAATTCACTTACAAAATGAAAGAATTAAGGAATGTCGTAGTCGAAGTAATATAACATTCCAATTTTCTTTACATCATCGATACAACACAATATATTCATCAATTTTTATTCAACTTTTCAATTGCGGATGAAGAAGTACTCTGTTATTAAAAAAAAAACGAGAAGAAAAAACACGAGATGAAGGATATAATAATGCAACACCTGATAAAGTGTTTTAAAACGTTAACAAAGATATTTATTTCATAATCACAGATTTCTTATTTATATGCATTGCAAAGAAAGAAACAAAGTATTTTTTCACAATCATTTATAATTCTAGTTTTTACCTTTTTATATAAAATTATGAATATAATTAAAATAGAAACTTTAATTCAAGGGTTTTGATCTAAAGATTTCAGTGAAATAATATACTTTCTTTTTTATCTTTAAAGATGTTAAAAAATAAATTACTGTTGTTATTGTTAATATTGTACAGTATAGTTTGCTCGATTGTCCTAAGTCGGTTATTATTATTATTTTTTTTTTTTATTTTTTTTTTTTTTTTTTTTTTTTTTTTTTTTTTGTAAATCTACAAATTAGCCTTATATTGTTATATGCATTTATTACATATGTTATGTATATGTATATGTAAATAAATACGATTAATCAACTTGATATGTAATTTATAAAAATTTCATGATTAATTTTTATTGAATATAAAAATACTGTATATAGTTGTTCTTTCTCAGGAGAGAATTTAATAAATATTAATAAAATTTCCCGTTACTTTATATTTATCAATGGACAATGAATTTTCAATGGAAGTTAGATTGAAACCCTTGTTATGATTTGAGAAGGATCTGTCGATGTCATGCTTCGACTACAGAACGTGTGATACTTGTATACTCTGCATCCCCTGACTACTGTAATTATAATATCAGCCAGTCCAAGTACGAAAATAACCGATAGTTTTTCAGACACGTGCTTTTAGAATGTTAATTACGACTACTACAAATTATTATTTTCGTGCTTTGACTGTTCCTCTGCAAAACAACAAAAAATATTTAAAAACAAAACAAAACAAAACAAAAATAACAAAAAATTCTTAATTTATCAAATCTGATGAATGCTAATGTGAATTTTTTACTATACAGCAGAATGAAAGAATAACTCAGAAGTAAACTATGAATAATTCTGTTTTATTTATTAAGGTATCGCTGATGTAAATTGCATGATTCATTCTAGTTTGTGAAAAGGTAGAAACGGTAAATAAATATATAATAGTCCCAATTACAAACTTACGTATTTTTGTAATTATATATGCTAAATACGTTGCATTAGCATTTATCAGAATATTTAAATAGCAAATTTCATTATGCAGGACTTTGATGATTATTATAGCGACAATGTACATCTCGCATAGGATCAAATGAAGTAAGAGAAAAATATTGGAAGCTATGTTGTATTGACAGTTTACGTTGTTATAGAACAAATCGAACTAACGATTCAGTGCCATTTAGGCCCTTTTTACGTGTATTGCAATGCTCTTACTTTTAAGTATATGTATTGTGTAAAATGAATAATAAGGATTCGACACGTAGAAGACTTTTCTGTAAATAGTAATCGACGAGGCATTAGGTATTTACCTAAATATACGATTTACGAATGACATGAAAATTGTTACATTTTCTTTATCCCTTCCTTTATCGTACTTTTGTATGAGTCAACAATTAAAGAAACAATTAAAGTAAACAATGATGAGATTCCATCCATTCATAACATTAAATTTAGTATTATAATTCTACATAAATGTATAATTTAGCTATTATGCAATAGTTATAAGTGCATGTCAAATGTTTAAAAGAAAACGAAATTTTTTATATGGTGTATAAAATATTTAACTTGCTGTATTTATAGTGGCCAATCTGTGAAATAAGAATTTTACCATTTATATTTGTAATAATTCACATCGAAACAGGATAATCACTATAAATGACTAAAATAATTTTAATTTAAATAATAAACAAGTTAGTCAATTTAGTAATTCAAAAATATGTTGAACAAATAACGTATCTAAATGTAAATGACGTCTTACGCTATAATAATATAATTATTACTAACATCTATAGATTTTCCATAAGATAATAGAGCATTCATAAATTAATAGTTTATAGATTGGCTGATATTTATTTATTAAATTACAATATCTATTTCATTTTTACAAAGAATTATTATCTAGATTTAAATTATACTAACTCTAATATTAACATTACGATACTTAAATTTATAATGATCAGGGCTAAGATAAAGTATATTACTTAGTGCAATGGAAATGAAGTATAAATTCTTAATTGGCATCAAACTTATAAAAATTAACGATTAGTATTTCTTTGTCAATACTGTCTAAAATTGCCACGTCTAACAATTGGTTGCATTCTATTCGGCGGAGTTATTGAAATATCCAGGTAATCTCCTATTATGAACCTACAATGAAACAACAATATAATTTACTTTACTGTATAGAAAAGTTTATTAAATAAATAAATATCACAAATATAAATTAATTAAATATTTACCTTGCCTGCGCTAAGGTTTTATTATCATCGGCACCTTTTTGCCCCGAACATGTTACCCCAATCTCACGCATTCGATAACCAGGCGTTCGTTGTTCAGGTGTAACCAATGAAAATTCAAAATATGTTCCTTTACTTCTGGCATCTGGATTTACTTCTTTAACCAATGCAGTAATTTCTCGTAAAGTTGCATCCATCCTATAATGATTAGTCTTATTTTGATAGGTGATAGTGACATAATAAGCTATTTAGATTTATGTACTATGAATAAATTTACGATAATAAGTGAACACCGATTTCAAGCATTCATGATCAACAATTAACATAAATATCAATAAACTTTACGTTTAGCTTGAAGATTATAAATTATTAAAAATTTTCATCTACAATTATAAGCAATTACAGACAATTGCACTCTACACGTGGATAAATGAACAATATGCAATTAAAAAAAATTATAATTACCAAGTATAAATTTGAAGTTCGTTCGAAGGTACGTTCCCCCTGGTATATTCCACAATATTATGGTGTCGTCCAGTATTACAAAATACTCTTAGAAGCAAGGGACACGTCTTATTAAAGAAAAATTTTTATTAGTAAGCATTTTACTAAATTCTACTCACAATTATTTATAAAATTGAATCACAAAATTGAGGTTAGGTTTTCGTTTATTTATAAAAACTTACCTTCTCTCTGTCTACTGGTTTATCAGGTATTTGTTTCTCATCCACCACCATCGATTCTACCGCAGATGTCATATTTACGTTCTTTTTTTTGATAAACTATTTAGAAACTGCAAAGTATCGTTCCTGCGAAAAAAAGTAACGCTTATGCCGGTTAATATATGTAATATAATTTTCTATGTGTAGGCACTGGCTTAAGGGGAATATTCATGGAACGATGAAAATCGTTTATGGTCACTCCAATGCATTTTATAGTACTGAAATTATAGTAGAGCACTACTATGTAAATGCCATGCAAAAGTAAATAAATAATTTATGCGCATTATTATGGATTTTACGTAGTAAACTTTAAATAGAAATATAATAATGAAAAGAATAATTTTTTTTTATCAGAACTACGAATTATGAAAGCAGGAGTGCAGTAAGTATAAGAGATATTGGTATTATTAATGTTTGAATATTACAAATGCTTTAGGTAATTCACAAAAAAAGCATTATTAGCAATGAAAAATGTGAAAAGAATATATAATTTACTAAATGTACTTTGAGTTTGTACAAAAGAATGTTAATATAATCTTTAGATAAAAATATCGTACATTTAACGATCTATATTAATAATTAAAATTCCTTAATATTCATTCATCAACATTTTCCAATAAACATAAGCAATATAAAAATCTTTATTTATCACGTAACATATATATATATATTATACGTTATAATTAAACATCTAATATGAATTTATATAATGTAGTTGCGTAGTATAATGTTACGTAATTAAAAGATAAGAATAATGTGTATAGAATTAGGAATCAAATGTTCCTCACAAGCTGACCTAACATCTTTCTATAAATCTAATCAGCAATTTGAGAAACTATGAGTCAACGATCTCACGTTCGCAGCCGAGCTGATGAAAATTGAGTTTTAGATTTCACGCTTACGGTGGATCAATATCGCCTGTACCATATCAATATTTAGTTGATAAACTGCTATCACTAACCTATATATTTACGTACTTTGTAGAGCACTTTCGACAAACTTACATTATATATTGACAAACTTTAGTTCAGTAATAGTTAATAAAGTGTTTGAACAAAAAAACAAAAAAATTGTCCCCATAAATTGAAATAATCGACCAAGAGAACGTACACATAAAGTGCAAATTGAAAAATATGAAATTGTCTAAATGAATTATGAATTATTTAAATTATTTTTAGATTTAGCTTCATAGATTCATCGCTTTACTTTTAACATTAAAAAAAGATTATGAGAATTATAAACTTATAGCATTGTTTTATCGAGACTGTAAAACTTTATGTACTTTATTATTAATAATTAGTCATAAAGAAAGTTTGTTGACTCGACATGAAATAAAAACACGAAGTAATTAGAAGTATTTTAAATGGCGCTATTTTGCTAAGGAATTGGGGAGTTACGAATTTGTCCTATCCTAGCGTCACTGCTTAACATTAGTTAAACAAATATTACAATCGTGCATCGAATAAACATTTTTCTCTTTGCTACGATAAATTTTTCAAAAATATATTATTGTTATTTATAACTTATTAAAATATTTAAATTTCAATCTTGTTAGAAGACTATTTATATACTATTCCCCTATGGGAAATTTTATTATGTAAAATTTTAAATAATATTATTATTTTAATAATAACACATGTGCTAAATACTTTATTAATTAGATTATTAACTAGCGTATGAAAATGTTTATTTAACGCTCATATTATTTTGACAGACAAATCAGTATGTAGATTTGAAAAATTAAAGTTTTATTAAATGCTGTTGATGTATATTTCAATCTGCATTAACTATATTAAATATTTAATACAATATTAAAAGCTGCTCGATATAGTTAACCATATAATTAGAGAATGACTAGAGAAATAAATATAAAGATGTTCTAAATCATGTAGACAGATTTCTAAATAATATTACTATTATCAATAATTACATTAATATATATAATTATCCTTATGCATTATATATATATATATATATATATATATATATATATATATATATATATTGTTTTTTGTTAGTAATTTTAATTGATAAGATTGTTATTTACAAAATTGTATAATAAAAAATTCTATAACAATGTATATTTATATAAGTATATATTTATAATTAATATTGTAGATTAATTTTTTTTTTTTTTTTTTTTTTTTTTTTCATATATAGACAACTTCATGTTAGATGAATTCTTCTACCAATCATCAATTTTTAAACTACTAAATAAAAATCACTCGATAGACTATCGTAATGATTTCCACACTCCATGAATTTTCACCTTAAGATATTCATTTTACGTAGCTTTTAAATTTTCTTATAAATACCGCAAATTTACGCATAGAAAAGAATGGCGTCATCAGTTATGAATTCAGCAATAAATTTATTATATGATTTAAAATTTAAAGATGCCAAATATTTGACTTTTTTTTTACACCTAAATAAATATTATTAATAGAAATAATTTTCTTAATAATTATTAAGCATTCTAGAAATTGACAATAAATTATTATTTGCAATAGAATTTCTGGTCAAATTACTTATTTTATAGTTATTTTTATTATAATATTATGTTATTAAGTTCTAGACTGCCACCAAATATATCGTTATTTTTCGATAATTTAATCTATTCGATTAATATATTTATTTTTATATTTTTTTGTGCATGTTATGCAATTATGTTTTTTTTTTCTTTTCTTTTTTGCGAAGATCGATGATTTGAAAAAGAAAATGGATCTTTGTAAAAAATGAATGTAAATCTACTATTTCCCGTAAATACTAAATAGCAAGTATCAACGTATATGGTCTTTAAAAATAATAATAATTTGAAAATTACAATATTATAGTAAATTATAAGACGAACATTTATAAGATTCTACTGCTCTTACATATAAAATAGTGCGCTCGTGTTATTTAATGATGGAAAACTATGATGGTCAAAAAAATGTTGAGAGTCCATCCATAATTAAATCCATGATTAAAATAATAAATAAGAAATTTTACATTTACACGAAAGTATGTTAATTATTTAATCTGCGCTTATTAACATAGAACGAGTATTTTAATATTAATAAAGAAACATTATAAATTATAAATATCACGATATAACTTTGCTTATTAAATACGATAACAATTTTTAGAATAATTCAATTTAAACTTTGTGAGATATAATTTAAAGGGGAAAAAATAAATAAATAAAATAAAAAGCTTTAAATATAATTTCCCAGCAATTGATAATTTGCCAATGATTGTTAAGAAGTGATTAAATTATTAAAAGATAACCTAATTAATAATTAAATTTATTAAAATGTAAAATTAAAATATAAGCATTTTTAAAATCTAGTATGTATGTGATGAAAAAAAAAAAAAAAAAAAAAAAAAAAAAAGTTCAGCTTGATAACATTAATAAAATCTTGAATATCTCGTTTAAAGTAAGAAATACAGCGAAATTAAATAAAAGTTTCTTTTCAATGCATCAAAATTTAACCCACAAAATTTTTCGATTATTTATCACTCACAATTTTGTCATCTAATAATTGACTTAAAATCCAATGATTAATGTGACTTTTGAAAAGAATTAACATTATTCATTAAAAATGTCTTTGATTATTTATTTACAATTTCCAAATGTATCTAATCTCTGGAATAAGGAGAAGAATTTATGAAAGAAACAGAATAATCGAATGAAACGAGGAATGAAAAAGAATGTTTGATAACTAAAGAGAGAGGGAGAGAGAGAGAGAGAGAGAGAGAGAGAGAGAGAGAG